TTTTTTCTCTTTCTATTTTTATTATTAAATATTTTCTATACTTTTAATATAAATAAATTTTACATTTGTGCTACTTTCTTTATATCCTTCGATCCCTAACAAATTAATTTTGTTGAAAAAAAAAATTTTAATTTTATTTTTTTTTTTTTGGTTTTGATAAAAATTTTCGCCTTAAAAGTGGTTTAACAGTGTCGGATAACAAAATTATTGTTGCAGTTAATAGCAAAAAGTCAAATTCAGTTTAGCTGTTGACTAAATTAATAAAATTGTCTATTATATTATAAATTATAAATGTTATAATAAATTTGAATACCCATTCGTCACTTAAATTTGCATGGAAAAAACCTCAGTCAATTATAGAATATTTTTAAACAGCACACCAAGACTCCGCATTTCTAAACAATTTTCCTTTTGAATTCAAAGAAATTTTCGAAAGTTTTCTGTTGTACTTAAGGGTCGTATTATAATTTTAATTTGGTTTGATTTCTCATGTTTTCAATTTTGAATGTCTTGAAATATGTACTGACTAAATTTATCATATATTTTGAAAGAAACTGTGTGTGGTTCGGAAACCATTCTCTGCACATCCCAAATAAATATGAAAAATGAATATAAAAAATTTCCCGCAGTTTTCATTCTATATAATTTAATTGAAGTAATTTCAAAATTTTTAAGTATTTAAAGCATTTCAAAAATTAGCCATCTTTGTATTTTAAAAACAAAATTTGTAAACACTGACTTGTTTTCGTAAACTAATAATATCCGGTCCGACGCTGATTTTATATCATATTTATTTTAATATTTTTATAGTCCAAAGGGCGATTGCATAATTTTATTTTTTATGCATTCTCCATTTGTTCACAAAAAAAAAATACAAGACAAATATAAAAAGAATGCATTTTCAAGGATAATGTTTTTTTTTATACTCAAATTTTTACCATTTCTGTTCTTCTGATTTTTATAATAATTTGGTTTCATAAGTGTGTACACATCAAAAATTATATAATATTTACATACAAAAATATTCTAATATCGTTTCTAATGTGTTCCTTTAAAGTGTATACGTGTCATTTTGTAAAAAAAAAAGAGAAGTTATCCTTATTATAGTTTATTTAAAATTCAGTTTTGTTCATCCCATAAAACATATTTAAGTAGAACAAAACATTTCGAAGTCCTCATAATTTTTACAATGATAAGTTTTATCAAAAACCTAGAAATATGCTATAGAAATAAATTTAAAGTTCAATGTATAAAAATAGAACCGTAAAATTTTGCTTGTTAGAAAAGATTATTTAAAATAAAATTGATTGCAAAAATCTAGAAAACTATTTTGTTAACCTGACAAGAAACCAAGGATTTCGATTTGAAAATGCTTCAGTATCGACGTCACTTAGCAAAAAAATTGTTATACTCTATACCAAAATATGTACGATATATTTCAAATAAAGATTGTTGCTACCTTATAAAATATAGAACCTTAGAAAAAATGGCTACTTATGGGTTATAAAAACAGAAACTTAGCTAGATTTCCGCAAAAAATTTCCAGAGATTTGTAAAAATTATATGGAAAATGGATGGGCACAAGAAGTTTTAAAGCTTAATAATTTTAGAGCTCGTAGAGATTCAATTTCTTCAGAATCACTTATCGTAGATATTATGAAAACTGAAATTGCATTGTTACTTGTTTTTAAGTAAAATTTCCCTTAAATTCTTAATTTATTAACCCCCTTCAATTATATTTTACATTTATAATTACCATTTAATTTAAATAATTGGCCTTTTTTTTCTAAACGGGTTACTTAACATTTTTTTGGAACTTATTTTATTATCATGTAAATAAAAGGATATTATAAATGAACAAGTTGTTTGGCAAATAAATCCCATCCAATAATTCTTTCTCTCTCTATATGACTTAATATTAAACCATAAGGATAACGCCAAAATAGAAAATCATGTATATAAGAAAAAAAAACAACTGAAAATTCTATATAGGACAATGTTTTATAGTTATAAAATTATAATTTATTTTTATTAGCATTATTTATTTAAACAAACATGCACACATGCAATAGAGATAATAAAAAAATATTATTATTGATGTTTCCTTAAATTACTCATAAACACAAGTATGTACATAGTTAATCTTTATATACAATTTGTATATATTTAATATTAATAGCCATTATTAAGCTTATTTAGATGATTCTTAATTTATGTATTAAAATAAATCTTAAGAATAAATTAATATATTTAGTAAAAGTTGGCGAGATTTTTCGCATAAACAGGAATATTTTTTTGTATAAAAAATAATGTAATGTATGTAAAAATAATTATATCAAGAATTTAATAAATTGCCAAAGGTTAATGGGCCATAAATGTTACAATTCTTGGCTTAAATTTTATACTAAATTGCCAAAAAATTTTAAAAATTACAAATATGAATAAAATTCTCTATACATGTTGGATTTGTATATTCCTCTAATTAAGTTTAATATAATGCAACCACTAATAACAGATTAGTAATTTTACCCTAAAATAATTTATTTAGTTGTTTTGCAGGGTACTTAGCTAGTCAATTTAATGATTAATACATAGTTGGAGTTGTAATAAGAATTTCAATTAACATTGACAACACATTTTCTAATTGAAATTATCATGTCCAGTTAGAAAAATAATATATAAACCACTTAACTATAAATTTACAATAAATTCTTAAAGTACTAAGCTCAACAATTTGCGATTTCGGTTGCACTAAAACTTAAAACTGAGTAAATTTCGTTATAGTAACTTTATAAAATTAATTTCTTTCCCATAAATAAAAATATTTCAGAAATTTTACTCATTGCTACCCACCGTTTTATCAATAATAATTGAATTGGAAATATAGTTTATAAAATGAAGATTTTACATAAGTATCTTGAAAAATTTTACTGTGCGACTTAAAGTAGCTGTTTTTTATTCCAACAAAAATTGTTTCAGAAACCTTTCAAATTATGCCGCCCTAAGTTAAATATCCGCCTATTTTAAGTAAATAAATTTAACCTTTTCATGTAAAGTTTTTTGTAGAGTTTTGCAACAATAAACAGCACAGTCATGTTAGCCCAATTTTTCAAAAAAAATCTTTCTCAGAATCTATGAGAAACGAAACGAAAGTCTGAGAGATTTCGAGAAACTTTTCTACTATATACCGCAAATCTAGTAAATTTTTTTTAAGCGGCATCTCGTACGGGAGATTCCAGTTCCAGTTGGGAAATATTGCTCATTATCAAAATCAATCTGCATGCAGTAAAAGCGTCCGTTTGTGTCAAATTTTAAGTCTTTACTTTTTTCAATTCTCAAATGAGCGCTGCAGCAGCAGAATGACCGACTGATAAACGTATAGGTCGACTCAAAATCTGACCCCGAGTAAGAATATATGTATATTCGTCATATATGAGAAAGTCAACATATCTTCCTATTTAATTCCTAAAAATTAAATATTCTCGGACTAAAGCGTTTTCATTTAATCAATATTATAATAGCTATAAAGGAAACATAAAAATAAATTTGTCTGCCTGTTGCGACTAAAAATTTATTCCAGACGAATAAATTCTGTAAAATTTTTTTTTTCTATTATTGTATTGGCCAGTATAAAAAAAAACATTATTTTATGATGAAAGGTTAGTCCTCATCAAGGAAATTTTTTTTTATCCTTTTACTTGTAATGCTAATGTAATTCAATTAAACTGTTTTGGCTTTGAATATTTCTACCTTTACGTTGGTTTTTCTATAATTTTTTTCACTCTGTATACAGGAATACATTTAACACCTTTGCAATTGCATTCAAATTTTTATAGTTCAGTTCATTTTGAACCTACCGAATAATTTAATTAATAAGAAAAAAGAAAATAAAAACGGTGTAATGGTGTTATCCTTTGAAAGAATTTTTCCTTTTTAATGCTCATTTACAAAAGAATCTTTGGCTTTATGTTTTTATTAATTACTGACACCTAAATAAAGTTTAATAATTTTTTTACCAAATTGAAATAAATAGAAAAAAATTAATATTGCGAATATTTTTTTTTCCTTAACATAAAATATTGCTTTAATTTTATTTAACACAAAATTACAAATTCTTTGTGAATTACAATTAAATGAAGTGTTTATTATTGTGAATATCAGGTAGTTAGACTATGAAAATCATATCAAGTGAATTGTTAATAACCGAATTTTTTAGACGGCTAACTATATTCAATGATATAGCCATGATAAATATAAACTTACAATGTACAATTAAATATGAGCTTACAATTACACAGTTCGCTAAAATTTTCATATCAGGGGTATTTTGAATTTTTTTATATAGCAAGAAGAGAATAAGTATTACCAGACTCGAACAGCCAATTAAATGAGGGTAAGGGGCTAATCTCGAACCCTCATCTTTGCTTTTAATAAACGTCGATTCTTTCTAAAATGCCATCAAAGATCTTCTTAAGAGATCCGCTATCCTGGTTCCGTAAAACTGAATTTGAATTGAAAAAGGTCAATGAAAATAAAAATTTCTGAGTTCCTAGTTTTTTAATATGAAATTTAAAAGAAATTTGTTTTTAACAAAGTTATTAATTTTATTCAGATAATGAAAAGATTTCAGCTATCGTCTATTTTCTGTCAATATTTTAGAATTTATTTTGGAAGCAGTTGAAATTATTGATTATACCTTTTACTGAAAAACTAAACCTAAATTTGAATAGAAGTCAATTAACATTTTTATTGCATTTATTAAAATCTTTTGCAATTTTTTTTGGAAATAATATCAAAGAATACGAGTATACATAATTCAATTCTAACATAATAGCTCAAAATTTTAATCATATAAGTAGATATTTGAGATTCAACTACTTCCACATGTTAATGCCTTCTAATTTTAAGTACATTATTAGTATCCTTTGCAAAGGCTTTTAATTCTTCAATGAAATCATAAATACGTAAAAATTAAATTTCATATTTACAGAATATTCGGTAACAATTTGAGCTGGATTTAAACCAATACACAATCCAAGAAATAAGATACTTTATATTAAACTCAAGTATGTGAATTGTACCACAATACTTCTGCTATAAAAACAATAAAACATATTAAACAGCCGGAAATATATAAAATAAATGTTCCCACTAACATATTTACAGTAATTACTTCTGGATCATTATTTTCTTCCTTAATTAATTGTAATGCCTTCGATTTTAAAGTTTTCAAATGATTTACTGATAATTGCCAATTTCGTAAGAAACCACCTTCGAATAATGCACGAATAACATAATTAAATTTTTCCACATAAGCTGAACCAAGTTGAAAGAAATGACTAAATGAACCGGTCCATGGATAATCTGGTATTCTATGATAAAACGGACGATTATCAATTCTTTGAATTGTACGTATCATTAAATTTCTACAAGCATCGCTACGTAACAAAAATCCTTGTTTTGGAGGCCATAATGTAATATCTTCAGATGCATCTTTTAATGTTAAATTTTTTATTGTCATTTGACCTAATAAACCCCATAAATCTGGTTCATATTTGTATTGTTCTTTAATGAACGAATCCATAGTGTCATATGTAAAAAGTTTTATTTTTAATTTCTTTAAAAACATTAATTTATCAATTTCTTTCCCATATATTGGTGTCACTGATATTGAACTTAATTTACCAAGATATGCTGTAGCTAAAATATACGTGAAAATTGACCAAAAAATAAATATTAAACGTAATGTTGTATTTGTTGGTAACCTATGAACAGGTTTACTTAATAAAGTTTCAAATAAAATCGTAATTGAATGAATAACATTGTAGTTTTCCTTAATTCCATAAATTTTATTAATGCAGTAATAGACGAAACGATTTATTAAAGCTATAATTGCAAGACTTAATAATAAACTTATCCAAAGCCGATATTTAAATGCTTTATACAATTTTAAGGAATTGGAAATCTCTTTTGCTTTTGGGATCATTACACACATTTTAACTTGATCAATTTGTTGTGCAATTGTATATTTTGACATTTTTACTTTATCTAAAAGTCTTCCATTTGCACCTGAAATAAGAATAAATAATTGTATTAATACGTAGATATTTGAAATTTTTAAAACATTTCCAATTATTTTCTACGAAAATAATTTTCTAGTAAAGATCTATCTACCTCACATTTCAAAGTTCTTTAAGTCATAAAAATTACTTGTAGAGCTTTTTATACGACTGTTTGAAGAAAATATTGGCTTTGTGTTGGATGTTGATTGGTTTCAATGGGTTGTTTGGAAGTTTTTACTTTTTTAGGTAACTGTTTTTGATGTGACGGCTGTTAAATGTTTGAGCGTTACCAATTTATCTTCTTGTTATTCCAACGTATGAGTGTTATGTGAGTGACGGGGCCAAGCAACCCTCTGTCACTAAAGTTACCCAGTTTTTTTGACACTTATTTCGGAACCACTAAAACCGTTTGAGCCCAGGTAACGAAGAAATAAGAAGGCTCTTTTATTCTACTTTTAAAAATAGAGGAAAAGGTATGTATGACCAAATAATTGACTAAATTAATCATTATCTTAAACAAATTTTTTGTTAAGCTTTTGATTTCAATCTGGTCTTAAACCTTGAACCGTAGAAATTTCAATTTTTAACAATTTGTTGTTACAAACAAATTGTTTTTTCATTAAAATAAATTTCCCCCTCCAATTTATTTTCCCTCTCTCCATACAGTTTTTACTAACTTGTTCATCTGTAGTTATCATCATGAAGTTATTAAAAAATAGTAAAATTTCGAAACTCTAATTAACCGTCGAATGTGTAAGCCGAATATGAAATAATATTTTAATAATTTTTGCTGCTCCTACACATATGCAATATTTTCATATAACATCAAAATAATTTTACATAACTCAAAATTGTATTTTATCAAAAAGTTACAAATATTCTAACTTCAGACTTACCATACAAAGTAATATTATTAGAGATATCTTTTAAAACTCCAGTCGTTGTATTATCACTTAATGCTACACCATAAGTTAAATTATCAGTTGCAAATACAAATCTTAATGATGCATTAAGAAATTTTAAAAATGTTCTTGATAATCTTACATCAACCCCATCATAATCTAAAGTTCCATTTCGTTCTATTTGAAAAAATCTTATAAAATCTAAATACGCTGATACAGGAAAATCTCTATTATATAAATTTGTTAATTTATTATAAAATAATTGTGTTAAATTCAGATTTTCATTTATTTGAATCATATCAAGTGTTGCCATATTAATATGTAATGTAAAAATTTCCATTGATTTTTCATTGATTTCAGATTGTATAATAATAATTACATCAATAATTTGTTTAGAATTCCATAATGAATTCAAAAATTTTTCCATTAAATATTTTTGTTTAATTGTAGTTTTTTTCAATAAAATAATTATAAATTTATATTTAATTTTATCTATATATGGATTTATATAAAATGTATTTACAATATCATATTCATTTAATTCATCTACTAAAAATATATAAATAGTTGATTGTTCAGAAATTGGTTTAACAAAATAATATGATATTTTAATTCTATTTAGAACTATATTTACCATTAATGATTCTGATAAACATTTAATTATATTATTAACACATATTTGACAATAATTAAGATTATCACTTAAATTTAAATTAATTAAATTTATTTCAGATTTTTTAATTAAATTACATATTGAATTTACAAAATTATTACAATTATTATATACAATGGTTTCATTTAAATATGAATTAGGAAATTTCAATTTCAATGTATTTTTACAATGAAATTTATTAAATGTAATGAAAATAATGAATAAAAAATAAATTGTAAATATTTTAAACATAATTTTAAAAATTTATTTGGATATCTTCCAAAAGAGAACCCTACACAAACTAAAATTATAATTTGTATGCATTAAAAATTTTTATTCACTATTTACGGTATTGTTAACAATAGTTAATATTTTCATTTGAACCTACTGCTCACTATAATTTCTATAGTGAAATTTTATTATTATAATTAAATTTTAATCCTTTTAGTTTAAAACCGATAATTGTATATTGATTTAAAATCACTTTATTCATTTTGAAATTATATATTAAATATTAAAAGTAATAAAGGTCTTCAAAGCAGAGCATTTCACGTTTATGTGATTTTAAATCAGTAAGTTGTACTGATAATATTAAACCTGTATCAGCATATACAAATAAGAAAAGTGTATATTATATACAATTAAATATACATGTTTTTACGTACTCAAAAACTATATTTGCAATACTCTAAGACCGCTGACGATTTTAGCAGGCATACATTAGCAATATCGAGATTGTAAATTTGCCCAGTTTTTTCTGTAAATACAGTTACGCTGGTTAAATTTTTAATGTTGATCATTATTTTATTTTTAATAGAAAAGTTTCATGTAAAGGCAGAAATTGATAGAATGAAATTTTGTAAAAAAGTAGTTATTTAACTGTTCGTCTGTCGTTCGTCTTTTGCAAGTCCTGTATTTCAGTTTTGATTTAATAAATTTTAAGTTTTTCTCAAATTGCAACTAAAAGGCAACTAAAATTTATTACTATACAATTAAAAGTATTTATTTCGTTATATTGTAAGCAAAAACTCGACTTGATAATGTAAGTAAATATACAAGTCGGTTTCTTTGACAAACACAATTCAAATATCCATATTTCAAAAAATTTCGTCAATTAGTTCCCTGAATATGTCGAAAAATGTAAAATCTGGCTTCCTACTCTTTATATTCCAAAAAAAATTCGCTGATTAATTATTTTACAAATTAAAATACTAAATTCCAAGAAAACTGGTTTATGATTTCTCTATATACGGGAACAAATGTGAATAAAATAGTAAAGGTCTTGTTGGTGACACCTGAATTCTTTTAAAAGTTCTATGGCTCGTTAAATAATCCGTTGGTGATTTTATTAACAATAATATTTAAAATGTGAAACTTGGCATACCCCAAAAGTTGGGTAAAACCCGGATTTTGGATAAGTGCATTTTCAGCAAACTGGACATGCGAAATTTTGATTTATCACAGAACCTCTCTTATTGTATACAATGTGATAGATAAAAATATTTACAATGGCTCATGACTGGTGAAGTGCATTTTTATTCCTTCAAAATATTTTCCATTTATAAAAAATCGAGTTGGAAAGCAGTGATCACACCCAAATTTCAATTTAATTACACAAGTTTATCAAATTTCCTAATTAAATCATTATTCTTTTATTTATACATATACTATGTTAAATCTTAAATATTTATACCTGTTAAATAATGAATAAAATAAATAAATTTCATATGTACTAACTCATATGTACATCTTCATTAGACTTATACCTACATACAAGTATAGTATTATGCGAGCATACCAAAGTTAAGAACCCTTAAAAATATACGAATTACTTGAATCCTAAAATTTTGGCAAAATCCTTATAGTTTTTTTTATTTTTTTTTTCTCTTCCCCTGTTCTTCTAGTTCTTTTTATGTTTTTTATTTTGTTTCAATTTTTATGAAAGTACTTGTAACGGTACCAATCGTGTAATTTGGATATAAATTCAAATTCGCGGTTTTATGGATTCGACAGAAATAATGTAATATAAAAATAAAAATTAACAAAATGTAAAAGAAAATTATACAAACATTTATAAACCGAAATAAAAAAAATAAATAGTAATAATAAAAAGAATGCCACCAAACATCTCTAATGAATAAAGTCGGCATATTCGTCATTCAATATTGTATAAATGCATGTATACCTCCAATACAAGGTTACCAATTGCGGTTTAGATAAAGCAACGATCCGCCATATTGCTTTATTTTATAAAAGTAGCTCATATTTTTTATAAAAGTAGCCCATTTTACTATAAAACAATTTCTTTACAGTTAAGGTACATAATTTACTGTATCGAGCGGTCTAAAGAAAAACTTGATAGTGTCGGTTAAAATATAAATTTAATTTTCAATAAATGGTCAAATTTTAGTTAGAATTATAGTTCATTATATAGCAAAACTTTCAACTTACACATAATCCGGTGTGAGAAGCTTCGATCGTAATTTAAATGTAATCCGTAGACCGTCCTAAATCAAAAATTAGGTCTAGATACTAGATTTTGTTCACATCATAACTAAAATGAGTTAGCCAGTTGGGAGAACATTTCAAAGAAACACATACAAATGTAACATTATTTTCTATAATATGTTCACCTCATATATACAAACCTGCATACATAAATTTCATTTAGGTTTGAATTATTTACAGAATGGGTTCCCATAAAGTGGATTAAAATAACATTTTATTTTTTTTCTACATCGAATTTACCTGATATGTTTATACGTTTTACAATCATTCTATTCAATAAGAGTTCTTTAGCTATACTTGAATAAACTTTATATACATAAAAAATAACATAATTCAGAAAATGTAAATCACATCATTGGCGATATGTTGATTAAAATAATTTACATTCTAATCGTAAGAAATACCAGAAACATAATTTGATTAGTTAGTAACATAATCCTATTTATATTAGACTATGAAATTATAATCATGTAATGTAGTTGATCAAATCCGATAATTTATAAAAAAGCACATTTCTCTTTTAAGATGTAATTCTAGAGATTGCATTTAAATAAAGCTTTTGATCTCAATAATGAAAACGATATTAAACTAAAATCATTCCCTTATTATCATTGCATAAATTTATGAGAAATGTTACTGTTATAATTTTGAAAAAGTTTATATCTACCAGGGTAACCGGTAAAATTATTAATAATATTAAGTGTCAATAATTAAGATTAATTAATTAGAACCGTAAATTAAGAAAATTAAGAACCGTAAATTGACATTTTTCAATGTTTTACGGGTAATCACTCAGGAAAGGCAGATGATTTAGAGAGCCTTGCCAAATACACATAATAGATAATGCACAGAAGCTATATTCGAATTGAAAACTGGAGAAACTAGTGAAAATTTTAATTTACAGATGACACCACTGGTACCATTGTAGTACTACATATGTATGTA